TGGTGTGATATGCATGTCCTACATACCCACCACGAGCCAAGTAGCAGACATTCTCACCAAAGGGCTTCCTAGGGCATAGTATGAGAACTTAGTTAGCAAGCTTGCCATGAGTGATATATTCATGCTAGGTTGAGGGGGAGTGTTGGAAGATTTCGGTAATTATGTATTCTATTATGTGCTATTTTAGGTAGTTGAGAGATTTGTGAGCTGTACAAATATTTTTAGAAATCAGTTTTATTTTTTCCTTTATTTGGGGAGATTTGTTACCTAGTTTGTATCCTAGAGAGAGCTATAAATTTTGATGTACAGAAGCATTAAAAATCATCCCATTCTTATTATCTTTCTGTCTCTTCTTTACAAGTATTGGCATTATATATAGTAATGATTATATTAACTCAGTGTTCTTTACTTTTCATTCAAAATAACACCTCCTGATTATCAGTATTGTACAAGTATCCTGGATGTTCCCTGTTAGTGTTAGTTGTCTTTTCCAGGTTGTGAGCATTAACCCTTTGGGTTCGATCAAGACTGCAATGAAGAGAATACCTCTTGGATGGAAAGATGCTTGGGTTCCTTCTGAGTGTGTTACAATGACTGATGCTTTGAATGCGTAAGGAATATTATATGTTTCATCTTTTGAATGCTGCTTTTATTTGATTAAAACAACTATTATTTTCTCCATTTTTCCCTTGGATAGTTTATATTCAGTACACTGCTTGACTGAAGCATGTCAAACTATTTCCATTTAAAGGAGGATAACATGGTGGGATGAATGCAATTATTATAATTCAATCTGCCTTAGAATTCTGTTAGAGTAGTGAATGTAGAAATAAGAGAAGAAGAAGAAGAAGAAGAAGAAGAAGAAGAAGAAGAAGAAGAAGAAGAAGAGAAGGAAATAAAGGAGAGAAATCTGGTTCGAACAAGAGAGAAAATCCGTCTCTCTATTTGGACAGATCTATTTATATGTTTCTATTAAATCATAAAAGTACATCTTTGCCCCTACTTAAGTGAGGGACACAAGAACTAATAGAACATTACACATCAGCAACTTAAACATAATCATAATGACTAAAATATCCCTATACAGTCGATATTAACACTTCCCCTCAAGTTGGTGAGTATATATCATTATAGTCCCAGCTTGTTACATATGTAGTCCACTCTTCCCCGACTCAACCCTTCAGTAAACAAGTCTGCCCATTGGTTTCCTGTTTTAACATATGCAGTATCTATCACTCCACTCAACACCTTCTCTCTCACAAAGTGACAGTCAACCTCTATATACTTGGTTCTCTCATGAAACACCGGATTAGAAGAAATGGACTACAACCTGATTATCATAGTAGAGTTTCATTGGAGTGTCAATAGTGTATCCCATTTCCTGTAGAAGATTTCTCAGCCACACTAATTCACAAGTAGCATGTGCCATAGCTCTATATTCTGCCTCTGCACTGCTTCTTGCCACAACTGTCTGTTTCTTACTTTTTCATGTCACACCAGGTTACCCCCAAGGAAAGTACAATAGCCTATAGTGGATCTCCTATCAGATATAGAACTAGCCCAACCAGCATCAGTATACCCCTCTATTTCAAGTTTTCCTCCACTTGTATATATCAAGCCATGACTAGGAGCTCCCTTTAAATACCTCACAATCCTTAGAACTGCATCCCAATGTGGAACTCGAGGTTTTTGCATGAACCGACTTACCACACTAGCCGTTAAGGAAATATTTAGCCGAGTAATGGTTAGGTAGTTTAGTTTACCTACCAACCGCTGGTACCTTCCAGGATCTTCAAACTCTTCACCCATATCACTGCCCAGCTTAGTATTTGCTTCCATAGGTGTTTCAGCTGGTTTGGCACCTAACAATCCTGTTTCTTCCAACAAATCAAAAACATATTTCCTTTGACACAAATTAATACCATGCTTAGACCTTGCTACTTCTATCCCCAAGAAATACTTTAGTTTACCAAGGTCCTTTGTTTGAAAGTGTTCCTGCAGAAAGATCTTCAACCTATCAATTCCCACTTTATCATTCCCGGTAATAACAATATCATCTACATATACCACGAATTGGATCTTTCTAGCTTGAGAGTCATGACTAAAGACTGAGTGGTCAACCTAGCACTATTTCATACCAAACTTCTTTACCACCTCACTGAACCTACCAAACCATGCACGAGGAGACTGTTTAAGTCCATAAATGGCTTTCTTTAGTCGGCACGCCTTACCATCCTTCCCTTGAGCAACAAACCCGGTGGTTGCTCCGTATAGACCTCCTCAAGTAGATCACCATGTAGGAAAGCATTATTGATATCAAGTTGAAAGAGATGCCAATCATACATAGCAGCTAGGGATATCACAATGCGAATTGAACCAATCTTAGCAACCGGGGAGAAGTCTTCGTATAGTCAATACCATATGTTTGGGAGTACCCTTTGGCAACCAGTCTAGCTTTCAACCACTCTACACTACCATCAGGTAAGTACTTAACAGTGTATACCCACTTACAACCGACAGCCTGCTTACCAGGAAGAAGTGTGGTGAGGTCCCATGTATGATTATGAGATAGAGCTAAGAGTTCTTCTTCCATTGCATGGCACCACCCTAGAGAGGCAAGAGCTTCTTGGACATCCGTAGTGACAACAACAGAGGATAACAAGGAGATAAACTGGCGATGGGAAGCAGAAAGGTTAGTGAGAGAAACATAATTAGAAATAGGATGAAGGGTGCAACTACGTTAACCTTTCCGCAAGGCAATGGGAAGATCAAGTTTAGAAATCGGGGGTGGGGCTGGTGTGGGAACAACTGCTGGATCTGTTGATGAGGATGGAGCTAGTACATGTTGGCGATGTGTATACACTTGACGAATAGGTGACCGCTCAACAAGTGGTGGCACTGGAGGCAAAGATTTGGTCACAGTTGGAACAAGTGGAATGGGATCCATGTTGACAGTTGTTTATGTATTCAGGTTTAGTACCATAAGGGTACTGTTGTAATTTCTCCTTTGTTTATATTGTTTGACTGTACTAGTATAAATAATAAAATTATTCTTTCGCCCCCAAAGTTCTGGAGGGCTTTCAGTCACT